CTTCCCTGCAACACTTTGAAGCATTCTGAATCTACAGACCAGGTTAAACAATGACTATTCATAGGTCACAAAACCACAGAACTCAGCACTGCCATTAAGCCTTTCCATTACCTGTGCACTTGGGTCTTTAACCACATCTCCTGACAAGAAACCACTTACGGTCATGTTTAGTTGCAGTCAGAAAACAGGGCAGAGAATGCTTACTCACTGATTTAGAATTGAATGATTTGTGGAATAGCAATTGCTTCATTAGGACAAACATAATTAATTTTGTTACTAAGTCATTATGTTTCCTAGCTGCTACTAATAAATCTAGTTCTGTATTTTCATTTCCATTTGTCAACTACAGCACTTACAGCTTCAAAATTCTCTTGGATAAACAATTATCTATCTGACAGCTTCTCAGAAGATAACTTTAAATTATTTCCCTTAATCTCAAAGAAACCAAGATATTTGCTCTTGCCACCAGAGCATAAAGAAGTGGCACATCAGCAGTCTGAATTATTTACTTAGGTGTCTTGACAGTACCACAGAGGTGAAAAAGCTCTAGTTTTTTTTACTGCCTTCCCCTACTAATCACCATATTGCTTAATGTTTTTTTTTAATAGTTTTTGAGAGTTGATAAGTTAGGTTAATGAGTATGGACAACAAGGCAAAAAAGGTCAAGCAAAAGATAATCTGGGAAGCTTCTTAAATACCTAAAATATCTAGAGCTAGAATGACAATTTGCACTTAGAGAGCAAACACCTTTCAGGATCCCATGCAGGTCAATAAGCAGTAATTCCTCTAGTAACTGCTGCACTTCCATTAAAATGTCACAGTCTTGTTTGTGTTAAACAAAGAAAAAGTTACGATCGCCATGAAATCACTGAAGCACGATTCTCTGAAGGTGAGCTACCCAACAGCTTGAAAACCACCTCTGCATGACACAAAAAACTAGCCAGAGACCAGAGGTGCCCCTCTTCAAGACAGACTGTGAAACTCTGAATATGTGAACAGAGAGGAACTAATTTTAAGGTGACTTCTTACCCGACTGATTCTTCGTCGTTAGAGCTGTGTCTGTCACGGTCCCTTTGCCTTCTCCCTTTTGTGGAAGGATTTCTGTAGCTGGCACTTAATCTCCACTGAAATAAAACAAATAAAATTGGCAGGTTTCAAGGTTCAGATTTCATCATGAATATGTCATAATGGATAACATTAGAAACATGGAAAAAATGGAACAATGCAACTGATCAAATAGAACAGAGCCACAAAGAGCATATATAACAATTTTGAAAATAATTAATCTGCTTCACTTAAAACATCCACATACCACCTGAACTTGAATGGAATTTCTTCTCCAAAAAAATATGACAACACAATTCAATTGTTTCCCTATTTAAAGGAATATTCCAAACAAGGACTTAAATATTAGGCCTGGTTTACATAATCACAAATATATAAGACAGACTCTAATTTCTTTAATTCCAAGCATTAAAACCAATTATATTCCACGCAAAGATACAAAATTCTGAGAAGGAAAAGGAATTTGAAGGTTTTGTACTGAGGTGGCAAAATCTGTAACAGTAAGACTTCATTTTTTCCAAATTTTCTTACCTTACCAGAAAGCACTTATATTTTGAAATTAAATAAATGAAGCTGCACCAAAACACAGTTACTGCTGCAATTCACAGAACCTCCCTCCCTCTGCCATTACATCCCTCTAATCTCTCCTTGTTTTTTTTAAATGTAAGATATAATAAATCAAAGAGATGCTGGGAAATTACACCAGACAGGTTGAAAGCAGACATCTTCATTTCTGTCTAATTGTGGAGTAAGAGGGCATCTGAAAAATTCCTCCCCACACATTTACAAACTTTAGTAAAGTCTGAAACGTGCATCCTAAATTATGTTTTTCCCTACGATAAGGGACTAACTCTAATGAAAAATACCCCCATTCTGAAAAATTTGGCAGCAAGAAATTGCCTTGAAGGTGCTCTGCCCTCTTCCTGCCTTCAAACATCATCTATTTCACCTCATATCACTGGTGTTCAAGCATGTTAGAGACCTCCACATCCAAATCACTCAAAGATGCACAAAGTTCCTCAAACAACATGGACCAAACCCTGATATCTCAGAGTGAGCTTTTCTTTTAAAGTACAATATAAAAACTAGTCAGCATTTAGAGTATGAAACCCTCTACCACATGGAAAAGTCTAAAATATACAGACACAGGTAGGAAAAATAAGAAATGGAAAATTAGACAACATACAGGAAATAATAAGCAAAAAAGAAGTACTTTTCCATCCATGCATTGTAATCACTGTTTTTGTAGAGGTAGAGCCTTTTGGTCTTAATATAGTTATTTCTGTACTAACACCTAAAATTTTGTCAAGTGATCTAGCAATTTATTCTCTTAAAGTTTAAGCTCTTAAATATAAACACTATCTACCTGAAAACTCAGAGTAAAAGTTATTTCCATATCATAACAAAAAGTTTAGCATGCGATCTGAATATAACCCACAAGTTCAGGAATCAGAAGACAACTAAAAAAATTATTACATTTATCTTTAAAGATTTTTAAGACCGTTTCAAACTACACTTGAAGGTCAACTTTTCAATGCTTTTCAATGATTTAGGCTGGAAACACAGCACTAAGACTTCCATTTCTATAAATGTATGCTTGCAGGCAGATTTCACACCTACACGCCTGTCTCTCTCCAAGGCAGTACTTGGTATTGAAAAATCCAGCGTCCAAAACAGAATCAAAACCTCGTGGAACATTCTCCTTCACACCTGACGCTGTGAAGAACTTCTCTTTACCTCTTTTAAAGGGTAGTCCCAATGGTGGGAGCCTGGGAGCCTTGCCAAAGGGGACTGAACTTGGACATCTTCTGACTCGGTGTTTGTTTTCTTCTTTGGTATACGAAACTGAAAACAGACGACGTTACACACAGGATAAAACTAAATTATGCCCTGTTGCTACGAGCTGGCATACTGCCATGTACAAAGTTGTCTTAACTGTCAGGCAAAACTAAGCTGTAAGGAAAGCACTGATGTGTGACTTTAGTTTAAATGCATTCCTCATTGATCCTTGATCCCAAATCATGAGTCATATCTCATGAGGAGCTGGTTTTGACACACAAACCATCTGAAAAAGCTCTTCCTATTTCATTAACTTCACAACTTTGAACATGTGCCTAAAAGGTGACAACCAATGTACTGACACAGTTTTCTTAGTTCACTCTGATTTGTCTACACTCCAGTTGTTTCAGCTTAGAGAATGATAAAGAGCAAACAAAATAGCTGAGTATCATGACTCTCACATCAGGTTTGCTCTTACTAAACAAAAAATTCAGGATGAAGAACAATTACATCTTACAATAGTACTTGCATTTTGGTATGATAATTTAGCATCAATAGACTATAATGTACTGAAAGTGGTATCACCTATTGTCATTGCCAACCTTTGCAGAAATGGAACCAGTGTTTTGAAAGTAATTACTGACAGAAAAAAAAAAAATCCATGGAAATTTGCCAATTTAGGAAAAAAACATGTAGGAAATAAGGTTTGTTCATTGAAATTCAAACCAAAAATTATCAAACTAAATTCCTAAATTCATCAAGACAAGGAAATAGGATGACAGTTCCTATCAGTAACTAAACCAGTTTAAATAATATCAACTCAAAGAAGAAAAGTGCAAGCATTGCCCTGTCTCTAGGTATCCTGAGACGCAAAACCTGACATTGCAAATAAAACCGCATGAAAATGAATCAAAGAGTAAACACAACATTTCCATCTTTCAGATAACTGAGTCCATCTCAGCCAGGAAAAAGCTGAAGCCACTCCATATGATGGTTGCTGTCAAGTGTACTACAAACTTGATTTGCAAGCCACCAGGTGCCCCACGTTGTAACATGAAATTACAAGCAGGGATTCTACAACAGCAATGCTAACAACTTAATAATTCATACATCAACTGCATCCATTAGCTCGGTAGGCAGTCCTTGAGACAGACCATAATGCAACATGCTGCACCATAATGAAATAATACTTCAGTCCTCCAGTCTGAATTACGAGTGCTCTTATTCCTTCTCTACCCTCCTTTGAAACAAAGATTAGGTTCTTTTGTAATTAGACTCACATTTCTATACAGTACCTCAGACTGCTTTTGCTGGTCAAAGGCTGTAATAATAAATATGCATATAATAACAGATTCCTCAAATTATAAAATTAAAAGAAAATATATAAATGTTACGCATAGGCAACAACTTCTCATACAAGTACCTTCCTCCCTTTTCAATCACTACATAAGGATTGAAACAAAACATTTTCTTACTCAAGGACTTCTACAAAGTAGATTGTTTCAAATTTGGTTGGTTGGTTTTCCTTTAGAAGTGGCCTATAAACATGTTCATCAGTCAGAATGCATTTTTCTGATCTGCACTTTACTGGCCAGGTACAAATTTCTTACTTCAGAACCAGCTGCCTGACTACAGACTTCTGTTATGAGATTGCTAAAAACACATAGTTATCTAGAATTTTAACATGCATTTAAAGGCGATGAGGTTCAGATAACCTCTGTAATAACATAACAGATAACATTAATAACAGATAAGGTCAGACTCAGAACAGAAGAAGAGAGAGACCGACAGAAGGGGATAAAAAGCACAAGATACGTTCACCAGCAACATTTCCAGCTCACCATACAGCATCTTCTCAATGCTCACACTCATTAAGAAGATGCTGGTTTGCAGTGTCCACAATTAAGTTACAATACAATCACAAAATTGAGAAGTAAACAGAGTTCTGAATCTATGCTAAATGCAACCTATGCAGTTGCCTCACCTTTTCCCAAATAAAAGGTGACTAACTCAACACATACGTGTGCATACGCACTCATCTAAACCAGCAGTACTTTTCTGAAGGTTTTCACCTGTAGGAACAAGGGTCAGAGAAAGTCCATGAACAAGGTGCTGGAAACAGCTTATTTCTACACCACTAGATAATCCAGACCTTACTGGATCAAACCAGTTCCTGTGCCTACCATTTGTTTTCATCAGTACTTCCACTGCTACAAAGTACTGCTAATTGACGTATTTTAGAAAAAAATAAACGCTAGCAAATATTACACAGTTGTGCAGCTGTTCTACTTACTTGACCTCACTTTACTTACTCTAGTATTTTAGCCTAGGTCTTAAAAAACCACCCTGTTCATATGTAATTAAATGCTAAGCCTATCATGTATTAATACATGTTCAAGAGTAGACATGAGTATTGACTGCTACCACAAACTGTCCAGCTTTTGCTGGACCACTGAAGAATGAACTTGGTTGTACAAACATATCAGAATGCCCTAGGATATGCACAGCCTCAAAATAAATTGTTGCAAATTGTTGTAATTTATAGGAAGACTTACACTGACATGGCTTGAAGATGATGTTCTTCCTGACATGATTTTCTCTACTGGAAAAAAAAAAAAAACCAACAAAATAAACATAGCAATTTCAGGTTTACTGATTAAGAGGGAAGCAGGACCGCAGTAGTAAGTACTACAAAAGATGGGACATCCATTGCTTCTCTGGGCAACCCACTCCAGCATCTCACCTCCCTCAGTACAAAAAAAAAATTTCTTCCTCATGTCCAACCTACCCTCTTTCAGTTTAAGACCGCTGTCCCCTGTCCTGCCATTCCAAGCCTTAGTAAAAAGTAACTGAACAGCCACAATACAAGAGACACACACACTTGGGCAAGGCTCTGGATTGTCAGAACCATTAAAGAAATTGTCACTAGAATTTATCTTCAGTGAAGCCATCTAATGATTAACTGCCCCCTCTCCTTCCACCCCTCCACAAGCACACAATTAATAAGCATTTAACACTGATTATAGAGTGAAAAGGAGTCACAGAAGATATCTGTAGCACTGCGGGGCAGGGACTCCAAGAATAAATAATATTCAAATATTACCGGTGTTCTATAAACTCCATCAGTGGAAGAACACAGCTTCAGAGCTTTCAGCCTCCATAGGCGTTTCTTCTCTTTATAAATACTCTGTATGACTCAGGCATAACGCTTTAAGTCTCTCAAGAAGCCCTTCAAGTTCAGGGACTTTTATTTACCTGACGATTTTTTTCAGCTTACAAGCTCAAGTCCCCCGGCGTGAGGAACAGCAGCATCTACAGACTGAGAGAAAAAACTACCGCCTGTTCCGAAGAGGGAAAGCCGGCAAGCGGCGGCCTCCTGACAGCTCGGGAGGGGTGGGGGGCACAGGCACCACCCGGGCTGGCACCGCAGGGACCTGGCCTGGCTCCTGTTTCCGAACCCCCTGTCTCAGCTCCCGATCCCAAACCCCCGCTTCCTTCAGCTCCCGACCCCGCACGGCTGGCTCCTCCCGCTGGGAAAGGAACGGGCTTCCCTCTGACAACCGCACAAGTGCCGAGGGCCTAGGCCGGCAATTCCACCGCTCCGCACTCCCTGCTCAGCCGAGGAGCGGCAACGCCGCCAGCACTGCCACCCTCCCTCCCTCGGTGCCCTCCGTCCGCCCGCCCTGCCCCGCCGGCTTCACTCACTCACTCACTCACTCACTCGCTCGCTCGCTCGCCTGAGACGCGCCGGCCGGCGCCGGGCCCGCCGGGGCGCTGCCTGCCAGCCGTGCTCCCGCTTTGCTGCCCGCTCCGGCGGCCGAGGGACTGGGAGCTGACAACCCCCCTCGACACCCACCGGCACGGCCGCCGCTGTTTACCCGGGCCGGCCGCCTGCGCAGCTTTCCCCGGCACTTCCGGGCCGGGCACCGCCTCTCCCGGCCCTGCCCCTCAGCCCCGCCGGGCTTTGACTTGCGGGGCTTTAGCTCGGTGCTGAGCCAGCCGCTCCTGGGAGAAAACCTCCTTGTTGTCAAAGGAGCAATAGAGAACCCACCCCGAGGCAGGTTTAGATTGCCTATTGCTAACCAGGTCTCCCTCAGCTGGCGGCCAGACCCCAGCAGGGGGTTAATCCCCTACCGGGAAGCTCGGCCGCTTTATAAACCCGGCTGTGGCCGCGGTTTGCAGCCGAGGGCCTGGGAAATCCTTCTAGCAGCCAACAGGAGACAAAGATTTAGTGGTTGGATTTTTTTTTTAATTTTTTTTTTTTTTTTGGGGGTGGGAGATTTTTTTTTTTTTCCCCCAGGGCAGCTTCAGAATTGTAAGTTTTGTGTATGTAGTTTTCTGGTTTGTCCTCTTGGGTAGTGGGAAGCAAAACTGGTTTGGACAAGTGTTTGGTCTCACAAGAGGTTTTACCTTTAACTTAGGTGTAAATTACAAACTAAGGGTGTTAGCTTGTGACTTGGAAATATCTGGAGCACTTTAGAAGGCCCTAACTATCAGCTACTGATAAACAGATATACACCCCAGTATATACCAATATATATACATATATATAGATATATCAATAGATATACACCCCAGTATATAAAGTAATGAAACCTGAAACTATGATGGGTTTATTTTCTTTCATGCAGAGGACTTGTCTACACTCCCAGAGAGAAAAAGTTTTCCATCTATGATGATGACAGATTTTACAGGAGAGCATACGGTAATATTGGGCTTTAATAAAGTGGTTTTCAAGGGGGGAAAAAAAAAAAGAATCTTTACAGATCTCATAAAGAGTAGTATTTACACTGCAGTAGTGTTTAGAATATGCTAACTGTTCTAACAAACACTAGCTGAATTTACAGCTGAAGCATTTTACAATCCAAACAGAAATGTGGGAGGAAGGAAAAGAGTCATTATTTTTCCCCCAATAGTAATTTTTAAAAAGTAAGGCAGCAATTGTAAAGGCTGTCAGAACCTTGAATATTGCATCTACATAGAGACAATGAAGCACAAGTAGCAATCAACAGAATGCAGATTTAGCAAAATTAAATTCATGCATTATGCAGCTTTATCTAGAACGATCTATAATTGCTACCTTTTAATTCTATTGGTAATTGCTATTTTTTTAATTCTATAAATGGCATTACTAATAAGTATATGATTCTAAGCTGCTATTCAAGTCAACTCTTAAGTGATAACCTAATATAAATTGCTTCAAAACTTTTCATTTCACACCTTGAAGGCAATTTTACGAAGGAAATCATACATACACCTCATGTAAAACTTTTCTTGTGTATGTTTCTGCCTCCTGAAATCTTCAGGAATCTTTCACAACACTTGGTAAAGTAGATGTTCAATATTACATAAGGTTTAATTTGGAATCACATATCCTTGTTTTGGAACTGAAAAAGCAATGTTGTTGTTAGTAGCTGAAGTAAGAGAATAGTAACTTTCTGCTCATAGTAAACTGGGAGATTAGTCTCCAACCTTTTAGGGAGAGAAAGGGACTGAGAAGTGCTCCACAGCATGCCACTCTGTAAGGAAACTGCATTTATCTATTCCTAATTGTTATAGAATGCTTCACCTTTATCCATAGACATCTTCCCTTAAAATATGTCCATTTTCCTCCCACTTAATCACATGGCAACAACATGAATATGCATAGCCTCTCCCCTACTAAATATGATCTCTTTTCTATGAATTGCCCATAGTTCAGTAGTATAGCAAAAAGACTGTTCTCCCATCTCCTTTGTCTTTTGTGCCTTCCTGCAGAATTAAAAAACCACAGATGAACATGTGCATTTGCAATTTCTTTGTGCTGTTTCCTTTTCAAGCAACTAGCAAGACAGTAAATGGATTATGCATCTTAGAATGTGGTTTTCCCTCCTTTCCTATGTGTACTGATTACATGAGATAAAAAGAGAAGGTACCATTTTCTAGCCTGCTCTCTATTAATCGGAAGACTGGAATGATCCTGAAGAGAGGACTTAACATTACTAACCCAATGGAGATTGCTCAAAAGGAAAATGTATGTGGTGTTGCTATGTTTGAAAAGCTAAAAACTTTTTAAAATTTGGATGTGTAAGAAATAATTTTCAATATGCTAAGCAGTTTACTCAGGGTAGCTTTCATTCCTTGAAAAAGTGGGGCTCCCATTCAAGACTCTTACATGAAAATATTCAGATTGCTTTTTGTCCTAGTAATTGGCTTTATCAGATGGTGAGTTTTAACACAGAAGGTGATTTACTGTGTTCTAAAACCCTCTGTTAGTTCAGCAAGAAAAACTTAAAGGTATAGAGTAGCTTCTACCAAATAACTTGACAAATGTAACTTAATGTAAAACATATTAAAAAAATATAAATATTTCTGTGTCAGGAAAAAACTCCTGTAAAGGTAGGATTCTAACCACACCAAAGGTCGTGGCCTGTTTGCCATTCTACAGCCACTGACAGTTAGAGCAGACTGAAGAATTATTAGGAAAATAGAAAGTTATGATAAGCTTATATAATTCATATCAGTTACTGGAGATAATCTGAAACCAGAGACCTCAATCCAACCTCATGATAGTTCGCTGTGTGGATTTTGTTTTCTCCTGTTCCTGGATCACAGTGGCTAGCTTATTCTGCCATCCATTCCTATCCATGTGGCAAGTGCTTGCAATGATGAATGAATAACCGGAGCAGTGAGTAAAAACCAAACACATAAATGCGTTATCTATGCTAGTCCAGTTTGAAGGTAAAACATGGAGAGTGTGCTGGTACACAAGCAATGTGAAGGTTGAAGTCCTTAGTAGATGCAGCTTGATTTCCCTTAAAAATTTAGGATCCAGTAAGACACTTGGGACTACTTCCAACTGACAAGGCATGTACTTCAAAGGTAGCCTTGAAACTCGGTAGAGTTTCAAGATAATGGCTAGGAGACAGCACGATAGAAGAGCTGTTAAAATGAACAATGAACCATGTACACAAACCTCCTTCTTAAGGCCTTTAATTCAAACTAGCTTAGAAAGATCTTTAAATAAACACACCAGCTTACAAACTTTAACTAGCAAACTGAAATAAAGGCATAATAAAGGCAGATATGTTAGTGTTGTTGGAAATCAGCAACTGAAATCTCTTAAAAGACTTTACAGGTGGCTGGCTTACTACACATCACCAAGAGAGAATCTGGATCAGCAAGTATTTTGTTTGTAACTGCTTTTAAATCTGAATTCTAATACAATGGGGGGAGGGTGGGGTTAGGCAGGTGTTGTGTGGTGGTCTATCACCACATTGACATAGCCTTCTTAATTTGTAGTGGTTACAAATACAGCATGAACTCAGCCTGAGGAAACTAATAGAGGGTTCAGAGTATCAAGAGGATTTGAACTATGACTTCAATATAAAAGGGGAACTGAGGCATCTGGATACAAATGAGTCCTTTGCTTTCAATTATTACAAGAGCGGATTTGAGCAGAATCATAAACGCTATGAGGTTCTGGGACATTTTATTACCCAGTATGTTTATGAGCTCCTGGAAAGGGTCTGCATGCTACAGAAGGTTTATATTCCTACTGATGCTACAGAGGATGAACCAAGAAGTTTCTTTTTCATGAGTAAGAATGCACTAACAAGTTCCTCTAGCCTCATTATCCTTCTTCAAGACCGTGGAGTTTTCCGTGCTGGACAGTGGGGGCAAAAGACAATTGTCAGTGAGGGCCTGAGCCATGGAACACAAATACCATTCATCAAAATGGCCCTTCAGAGCTGCTGGGAAGTGATTGTACTGAATCCCAATGACAACTTCACGGACCTGAAGACTGAAAAGCAGCACTTTTCTACCAGGGAAGAAGCAGTTACTTTTACACAGTCTGTCTGGTGGATCCCCAAGAGGGGCAGCAGCAGCCCTGAGGAGCACACCATGTACGTGTGGGATCATTTCATTTCAAAGAGCGCAGCCAAGAACGTGGCCTTCATTGCCCATGGCTATGGTGGCTTGGTGTTTGTTGATTTGCTGGTGCAGAGAAAATGTGAGGTGATGAATAAAGTGTTCTCTGTGGCCTTCATTGACTCCGTGCACGACACACAGCACCAGACCAGGAACAATCCACAGATACAGGATTGGATACTGAAATGGTGCCGCGAGTGGGTGTCAAACAGTAAACCTCTAAATAAGACTGTGGACTTCCTCTTGAGAATAAATTGTCCCACTGTCTCTGCTGGAACGGAAAAGTGTGGTTTAGCACCCTCGTGCTGTCTCCATGCCATCTTTAAGTACTTGAAGAGCTCCCTGAAAGCTAAGACCGTAACAGCTTTTAGGCAGTCCCCAGTTGAAACCAGAAGCAGCACAAGGAAGAAGAGAGGCAATAAATAAAGGCACACTGTTTTTTTCTTGATAGTGATCTCTTCCTTTCATAACTGCCTCTACATCTTTCAATCATTTAAGAACCTTCACTTCACTGTGGAGCAACTTGAGAGTTCTAAGTTTGAAGTTAATTTGTTTGGTTTTGATAAAAAACCCACAGAAGTTAACTATAAGGAAAGAAATGTGTTACTGAAAGCCTTAAGGCACAACCCTTTGACTAGCTGTGAAATTTAAAGTTGAACACAATAAAGATGTTAAGGCATATCAACTCTCAGCTGTGTAATTTTTAAAAATAAACACTCTATAGTTATGGCTCTATAATCAGACTGAGCTAGCAGTAAAACACTTGCTTAAGTGACTAGCTTCATTAAAAGGACAAATCTGGAAATAGAAAAAACATGTAAACAGTCTGTTTCCTCCTCACTATGTACCATACATTGCTTAAAATCTTTGGAGAGCCAGGGCATCCACCTTCTTTCTTGAAAGATTTACTGTTAAGTTGAACAGTA